AAAAAACTTTTGCAGTATCATTATTAATGTTTAAGCGTTTTATATAATAATTTTGATGGTTCAAAATTCTTTTCAAATCTGTATTTGACCAAATTTTTAGATTTGCCAGCAAAACTCTTTGTGAATATTTAAAAAAATAAGGATATAAATTCCGTAATTTGAATAAATGTAAATGACGCAAATTATATGTTTCAGTAATGACGATTCTGTAATATGTTAATGAGCAAAGTTTGAAATTGCTAAATATCTCCATTTGTATTCTGTAAGCTGTAGAATCTCATCAATATCACTGCTCTGAATATAACAATTATTGTTATATAAATGTATATAACAACTTAATATTAGTATTAAAATTAGGAAAAGTTAGAAAAGAGTTTTTACGGTACACGTCTTACCTAATGATTGAAAAATTGGAAACTTATTATTCCATTGTTTTTACATTAGAGCATCTTTGAAAGAATGAACGCACTACTCGCGAGGAACATGTTAATTAAATATTAATTTTAATAACAATAACAAGCGAAAATTCGTGGAAGTAGATTTGATCTCATTTCATGCAGCTAAGACCGTATAATCTGCTAATTAAACAAGATCTGATCTAATAAGCATAAAATAGTATTACTAGACTCAGGAAATACACGAGAAGAACAGTTTTGTTAAAATATTTAAAAAATTGGTCAGATATAAATTTGAAAATAATTTTATTAAGGCTATCAAAATAATTATGTAACTTAAGCTTGATGATAATATCGCGGAAGGTTTTAATATTCGAGTAATATAATATTCAATCAATTTGAATATTTTGCTATTTTAAACATTCCAATTATCTTGATGGTCTAACAAAATTATTATTAAATCTATATATTTGGTTAAATTTTTAGATATTTCAACGAAATTATTTCTTTCCGTGTAAAAACTCCTGTCTACACCAAAGTTAATATTTTTTCGATAAATATCGTCGTATCGATTCAGTTCAGTGAGTCTGTTAGTCTTTCAATTAATTTCATTCAATTGTTACATTATTTTATCAACCTCGCGGAAGTTAGCATACGTACATTGATAACATTATTCACCGATTCCTCTACTCTATCAGTTCGTGCGACACGATCCCTGTACTTGCGGAAGTACTTTATATCGCTTTTGTGAGGCGCAAACTTCGGGCGTCGAAACCCCGATGTAAAGCTCGAGCCCGCACATACAAGAGGAGATCGACTCCTTTCAACCCCTTTCGCTCCATACCTCCGCTCTGTCAGGAGTAACCGCGCGAGGTGGTTTAAAGTCGTAGCGCGATAAAGCCGCGCGGAGCCGAGCTCCTCTATCGGGAATTTATTGGCCGATATCGCGTTTATTCGCCCCCGTGGCTTCCGTTCCGCGCATACTAGCAGTTTAATCACCTAATTGCCTCTCCCCTCGACACAACGTCACCACGCTCCACAGGTTTCGATAAACGATCTCGCCCGGAGCCGATTATATAATATTTCGGTGCAGCTGAATCGAATGCGTCCCGAGAGTATGCAAAGCTGATTAAGTTCCAGGTATGCTGCCAGCTATGTTTAAATCAATGATTATTAAAGCAATTATAAACTTAGAGCAACTCTGGAATCGCGCTATTTGCTCTTGCCGGTAATTATTATATTTATTATATAAGAAGAGAATGAGCGCGCGAGAGAGAGAGAGAGAGAGAGAGAGAGAGAAGAGAGAGAGAGAGAGAAGAAATTTAAATAAAACAGAATTATTTTCTTTTCGAAAATAAAGATTTTGTTAATTTTTTATCGTTGTTTTGTCAAATATAAAAAAAAAGATTTAATGATAAATTATGCAACGTCACGACAGAGACAAATATCATTAATTAAATACACAGCTTCTTCCATTTTTGCTCGTCGTGGCGAGGAATTCGAGAGTTCTCCTGACCTTCCCTACCGACATTTTCCGACTGCGTTAAATTTCTCTGATCTAAAGATAGTTTCCACGTTTTCTGCATCCCGTTTAAGTATGCTGCGAGAAGCTCGAATGCTTGGGACGTTCGCCTTCTCACTTTTCAAGATAGGCATGTATAATTTTCGTCTCTCGAAATCAATAGCTCGAAATCAACGCGATACGCATATACGCGTAGATATAGAAATGCGAATAACAGTCGAGTATGTGTTATTCGAGACGCCGGACTGCGGGGAATTATAGCCGCTGTTTCTATCAAACAGATTGATACTGTCTGTTAGCGCGTGTGATAACGAGAAACGGGGTCAATTACTCGTTTCATCGAAGACCATATCGCGAGACTTCTACGGCTTGCATTTGGTATTGGCCATCTCCATGACCCGTAATCCCAGTTCGACAAAACTACCTGCGATCCAGAGATAATAATTGATACGGGCGATCAATTTGAAATTCAACAGAATGAAAAATTCGACGTCACTTCGAAACGTAATTAAATATTGACCGAAGCTCTTTAGCTCTTTTATTGTTTATAGAACCCGTCAGGAGTAAAACTCCATTGTTTTAATAATGTTATTTATCGATCAAATCAAATCCTCCGCGTGTGCGAGGCTGGAGCGATTTTTCTGCTTTGATAATCGACTATTTGTTTAACCTGGATAAAATTATTAAAATTATAAAGTTTTCAATATTTAATCGATCCATATTCATATCTCATTTTTGTCAAGAAATGCGCTTATCTTAATTTCTGTGATTTTATATTACATATAATATAAATTATATGTTAAATACGCGTTTAAAAGCGTAGTTTTCAATAAAAGTGAGATATGAATGGACCAAATAAATTTGACAAAATAATACGCCGGTTTCACAATGTATGATAATAAAATAAATATAACTTGCGTATTTACCAAAAGTCCAAAATTTCCTGGAAACATTTCATACCGATATAAAATACACCGTGTATTCAATCATTAATTGAACTTGCAAAATGAATACATTTGGATTACAATTCGCAATTGGGTACATTTATTCGCGCATTGTCTTTCTATCGTCTCGTCAGACCGGTTGCTTTTGTACTCTTTTCGATTCCACTTAACATCAATCAAGAAGTCCATTTGCGGCCAAGTCGCGCGGGCGAATTGCAAAACTTTTGTCACAGTCCGCAAGTCGCACGCTGGAAATCTGCAATCTTGCTCAGCCGCACAACCGCGATTTAGTAAACTTGCATACGTCCATATCCTGTAGAATCGCATGTCAAACGGTGCAAACTGTGTTTGGCAACACCCAAGTAGATACTAGTGTTGAATTACTCTTACCGGGACCAACGAGCGCACGGTACACACGTGTATATATTCGTGTGGTCGCGGCATTCCGGGGTTGCGGTAGTCGAAGTTTGTTTCGCAATTCTAGAATTCCCAATGTTAGCGCAGACATTTCCCAGTTTAAAAGAAAAAGATAAAGGGACAGATAGATATAGAGAGAGAGAGAGAGAGAGAGAGAGAGAGAGAGAGTA